TGACTCCGTAAACCGCTTAGAGAGGGCTGTGAAGCACTGTGAAGCGGTATATAAGTCTAAGGCAGTGGTTCCCAAACTTGGCAACTTTAAGACTTGTGGACTTCAACTCACAGAATTCTCCAGCTAGCTCTTCTGGCTGGAGAACTCTGGGAGTTGAAGTCCACAAGTCTTAAAGTTGCCAAGTTTGGGAACCACTGGTCTAAGGGCTACTGATATAGCTATTGGTCCCCAGGTTTTTGTGATTTCCATTTGCGACCTTTGCAATGGCTTCTAACAAGCAAGTCAATGGGTAGTGGGATGGGGGGGGAGCAGGAATCTCTTAACACCTGTGCCTAGCAATTCACTTAGCCACCATGGCAAAAAAAGAACTTTAGAAGTGACTGCAACTCATTTAACAACTGCCTTGCTTAGCAGTGAAAATCCTGGTCCCAATTCTGGTCGTAAATACCTGTAGATTCTTTCCTTGCTTCCGGAATGGTTTGGGACAAAATGTAAAGGAGGTGCAAAACACTCAACACTGTCATAAGACTGGTGCGCTAAAAGCCAAGTGATGAACACGGATTAATATAAACCATGTCTTGTCTTCAGATGGGAGACAGAGATAGTTCAAGATGTCTGCAGGCTCCATCATCATTTCGTCGGCTTTCACCGCCGCCTTTCAACGGCTGCTAGACCCTGTCGGTTGCTATGTGCTGCCAGAGGGTGAGAGAATAGTTGTTCTCTCAAGATTTTGTTCCTCGAATGGGTTTTTAGACAGAAAAAAAATTTCTTGGGTGCCCTTAGTGAACTTCCACTTAAAAAAAGAGAGGGCTTTAGAATGAGCCTCCGAGACTGATATCGTAGGAGGAGGAGAGCTGCGGTTGTCTGTGGCAGTCAAAAAAAGAAGAATTTGTCCTGAAATTAAACATTTTGTCCTCCCACTAAAGAGACCATCAAATTCCAAAGAAAATGGTCCTTCACTAAATCTCGTCAGTGGCAGGAAAGGAAGTGAGCCAGACATGGGACTGGGAGCACAGACACTGTCATCCACTTAGCCATCCTAGTCATTCCCCCCACCCTCCCGCAACTTCTGCTTGATAGATAAGCCAAACCTGCTATTCCAAACCTATATAATATATTCCAAGACTACACTTCGAATACTGTGTCCAGTCTTGGTGACCACAATGTAAAAAGGATATTGAGACTCTGGAAAGAGTGCAGAGAAGAGCAACAAAGAGGATTAGGGGACTGGAGGCTAAAACATATGAAGAACAGTTGCAGGAACTGGGTATGTCTAGTTTAATGAAAAGAAGGACTAGAATAGAATAGAATAGAATAGAATAGAATAGAATTCTTTATTGGCCAAGTGTGATTGGACACACAAGGAATTTGTCTTTGGTGCATACAGAATAGAATAGAACAGGGATAGGGATAGAATAGAATTCAGAATAGAATAGAATAGAGAATAGAATAGGAATGGAGAAAATAGAATAGAATAGAATTCAGAATAGAATAGAATAGAATAGAATTCTTTATTGGCCAAGTGTGATTGGACACACAAGGAATTTGTCTTTGGTGCATACAGAATAAATAAAACAGGGATAGGGATAGAATAGAATTCAGAATAGAATAGAACAGAGAATAGAATAGGAATAGAGAAAATAGAATAGAATAGAATTCTTTATTGGCCAAGTGTGATTGGACAAGGAATTTGTCTGGTGCATACAGAATAGAATAGAACAGGGATAGGGATAGAATAGAATAGAATTCAGAATAAAATAGAACAGAGAATAGAGAATAGAATAGGAATAGAGAAAATAGAATAGAATAGAATTCAGAATAGAATAGAATTATTTATTGGCCAAATGTGATTGGACACACAAGGAATTTGTCTTTGGTGCATATGCTCTCAGTGTACATAAAAGAAAAGATACATTCATCAGGAATCATAAAATACAACACTTACTGGTAGTCATAGGGTGCAAATAAGCAATCAAATCTTACTAGGAAACAATCTCTATTCATAAGTGGAGGAGATGGGCAATAGGATCGATGAGAAGATTAATAGTAATAATAATGCAATCTTAGTAAATAGTTTGACAGTGTTGTGGGGATTAGTTATTTAGCAGAGTGATGGCATTCGGGGAAAAACTGTCCTTGTGTCTAGTTGTTCTGGTGTGCAGTGCTCTATAGTGTTGTTTTGAGGGTAGGAGTTGAAACAATTTAGGTCCAGAATGTGAGGGGCCTGTAAATTTTCACAGCCGGAAGGCAGGTTGGTAGTAATTGTTTTTTCTACAGGTTCTGCATAAGCCGAACCTGTTATTCCAAACCTATATATAATATATTCCAAGACCACATTTAGAATACTTTGTCCAGTCTTGGTCACCACAATGTGAAAAAAGGATATTGAGACTCTGGAAAGCGTGCAAAGAGGAGCAGCATAGAGGATTAGGAGGCTGGAGGATAAAACAGACAAAGAACGGTTGCAGGAATTGGGTATGTCTAATCTAGTGAAAAGAAGGACTAGGGGTGACGTGATAGCAGCCTTCCAACATTTGAGGGGCTGCCACAGAGAAGAGGGAGTCAAGCTATTCTCCAAAGCACCTGAAGGCAGGACAAGAAGCAATGGGTGGAAACTAATCAAGGAGAGAAGCAACTCAGAATTAAGGAGAAATCTCCTAACAGTTACAACAATGAATCAGTGGAACAGAAGTTGCCTCCAGAAGTTGTGAATGCTCCAACACTGGAAGTTTTTAAAAAGAGACTGGATAACTATTTGTCTGAAGTGACGTAGGGTTTCCTGCCTGTGCAGTGGGTTGGAATAGAAGACCTCCAAGGTCCCTTCCAACTCTGTTATACCAT